TTGTGTGTGTGTGTGTGTGTGTGTGTGTGTGTGTGTGTGTTTTGCATGAATTTCGCTTACTTGTACTACGGAGACAACTATGTAAGAGATTACGAAGTATGCGTGTATCATACAATCACCAGGATTTAGAGCGTTAGCGATGAAGACAAACATGAGTTGACCAGGAATAGCCATGGCGATGAGCAATCTTGCGGTCTTGGCGTACGGACCTGTTTGTGAGAAAGAAAACTCATTAGACGGGATATCATATTAAAAGTTCCAATATTAAGGTAATCTCACGAAGTATTTTTTTCTTCTTCTAAAATAGGATCGGCAAAGTATGATAAGAATATTGAATTAAGTATTGGATTATGAAGATGTCTATGATAAAACTTGGCTTGACAAAAAGTTTTATAACTAAAATCGAAAAGTTTTATAACTTTAGACAGAAGAATATTTCTAAATTAATCGCGTTAAAAAAATTTTTTTTCTTCATATTTATTCTTCATATGGTATTACGTACATCCTACGAAAAGCGCAGTCAACGGCGTCACCCAGATTTTGCCGTGCGGTGGCAGAATTCCCATGATAGAAGATTGGTGCAACATGGTTGACATTCGAGACGCTTGCACCGATACCAGGTTGCCACCAATTCCATTAATGACTGGTTGAAAGACTTCGGATCCTGGATACTCAGTAATCATTTTCTCCAGAACTATTCCACCGCCACTGAAGAACAGAAATAACAGAATAAAATAAAAATGCAAGTAAGCAAAAAAAATTAAATTAATAGTAATGTAAATTAAATTAATCAGTAAGATAAAAATCAAAAGATAAAATTATTGAAAACTATTAATTATTAGTTAATAGTTTTCAATAAATTAATAATGTAAGAAATTTATTAATAATAATAATTATTATTATTATTAAAAGGAGGAGGGAATTAATAATAAATTAATAATGTAAGAAAAGATTGCTTGAATGTTCGCGCACAACTTGGAATTCATTTGAATAAAATTTGAAAAAAACTGAAATAAATATGTTTGAATTGACTACTAACCCACTGATAAGAAGGGCGGACAAGATGGGGATCCAGCCGGTTCTCAGTACACTTTTCGTGTACTTGTTCTTCAGCACGATCACAGTCCAAATTGGCAAGAGCATTATGAACACTCCGAGAACTATGTACAATATCCATATGAACCCTTCGTTCATCCTGACGAAGAATTCCGACGCAATGGCCGAAAGAATACTGATGGACACGACGTCACCGATAGATGCGGCCAGAGGAGTCGCCAGATTATCCGGATTCATTTTGAATCGATAGGACAACATGATCACAGCGATCATGATAAAATCTATAAAGCAGATGTCATTTTGTCAACAATTTAAAATTCCGCTTATCAAAATATGGTTTGAAATATGATGCATTTGGATGACAAAAGGGAAATATACATGCAAATATGCACGCTATTGTTAAATATGAAATTTAACACTTTAGAAATTAATAAAATTAATAAAAAAATCAAGATTATAATAAAATAAAAAGGAGTTTAAAATTAATTGTCATAATATATATTAATAATATCGTAAATGTATATAAAAAAGGGAGAATTTAATTAATTAATCTTTTATAGAATTAATAAAGCTACACATTAATCAATAATAATAATATATTTAACACATATGGATAATCTGACACTATTATGTCATTATATATGCTAATGAAATACGAGATCCATTTTGTATATTAGAAATGAAAATTAGAAATATATTATTTTAATAATTTAAACATTCATTAGACTATCGTGAAAAGAGTGAAATGTGATAAGTAGCATAAATCAAGAATTTAAAACGCGGTCATGCACAAATCCATATGCTGATCTCGACTGTAAAATTTTCCGAACGGGACGTTTTTGCGACGTTGAAAAAAAAGATCCGCGGTAAAAAAGGAAACACATATCTTCTTTGTACACAGTGTGCAACGTGCATAAAAAAATGTCATCCATCATCAGGCATATCTTTATCATTCATGATTCGAGAATAAAAGGTGATAATATCTATTAAAAAAATGCAACTAAGTTATAAGCTGCAGATAGCGATCGCCGCTAATGCTAATTGCTGATAAACGATAACGACGAATACCTCGAACGAGCGTCGATTCGTGGAAGGGAGCGTGCAAAAAGCGTGCATTAGTCGGCGTTTAATGAGCATGCCGGCGAAAGGATGGCTTACCCAAGATAAAGCAGGAACTGGTCGCCGTGCACATGCACGACACCGCCAGCAACAACGCGCTATTCCAGTCGAAGACGTTTCCATTGAACGTGCCCACCACCATGCCGAACACCGATAGACAGGCGGCGGCGACGATCGCCTGGATCTGCACCAGGGCGATGTTCCCGATGATCATCTTGATGATCTCCCGTCGGCTCTTCATGTTGCCCAAGTTCACCTGAGTGCACAGCCGTGACGCTAAACACATATCGAGATTACCCTTCAGACCCTGCAGCGCCGTAGTCAGGATCAGTAATTGGGGGACTTCTATGAAAGCGGGTAGAAGCTGAAAGCAGACAATTGAAAAAATTAGGACGTGGATCATATTTTATAATTTTATAATTTTTTCACACAGAGAGAACGATTTCTTTGGAGAAGTATTATTTAGTTCAAAAATAAATTTTATTTTCTTTAGATAATAGAATTTTTTCAAAATTTTTAATTTAATAAAATGATGTTTAATGTAATATTATGTTGTTTAAATTAAATAAAAATTCAAATCAAACAAATAGAATTACTAAATATAAAGCAACTTTTTTCTCAATATACATACATACATTTTTTTTATATACACATTTTATATACAATTTTTTATACAATATTTTATATTTATTTATATACAAAGCAAATTTATTATTATTTTGAATATCATGGGAAACATTTTCTCTCTTATTATCTAAGGTACCCAAATAATACCCTCGAACGTCTATAAATCCTAATTAATATGATAAAAAAGTTATGTGACAATTACTGCCATTTAAAATGTCGCAATGACGGTGACTTTAGTTTAAAGTAGTAAGAATTATAAAAATTTGTGACGTACAGAATACGATTAACGCGGCCTGCTTCTATAAGTATCATGATTCTTATCATGATACTTACATTGTTGACGAAAGATGACAATTTGTTTATTTTGACTCGTTTATTTTAGGAAGGAAATAATGCGTCAAGATTAATACAAATTTACAATAAGACTTGATTATTTTGTTCTTAACTAATCAAACGAGGATAGATTCTTGGAAATGCACCGATTGTCTGTAATCTCAATCTGAAATCTACATTAAAAATGCGAAACGGCATTTAAAATATTTATGCAATTGCAGCGACACCGTATCCTACATCGTATCGATCGATAAAATGCATCGAGTCCGATAAACGTTAAGGAGAACGATGATCGACTTTGACACCGTCTACGATAATAATAGAATTCATCCGATTTTTTATTTTTGGAGGGAACGATGACAATTGCTACATTCAGTGACAATTCGACAATTGCACAACGATTGAATAATTCATCGACGTAATTGATCTAAATTTAGAGATCTAACGGTAAAAACCAATAATCACTGATCGCTCACTGATCACTTTGTTTCGTTGAATGTAATCATTACAGGCAAAAAAGACAAAAAAAGGGAAAAATAAAAAATTGGACGATTGACACTTGAGAATCTCTCGGTATATCTTTTCCGCGAGGGAAAGGGTGGGGAGGGGGGGGGGGTCTTACCTTTGTATCGGCAAGAACACGCCCGGCGCCGATGGTGCCCATCCCAGCGATTAAAAAGGGCACCGACACTTGCAAGATCGTGTGATACCATTTTTCATTCCTGATATCCCTCTTGTCTCCCTGGCCGCTTAATTCCTTGTGAAAGTTCGGATCAGGATCCGAGACAGCGACCGATGAAATCGTCACTATGGAGCTGCTGCTGGAGACAGATCCATTTCCGTTTACGCCGTCGGGCACATCTTTCTTCTCGCTCTTGTCGTTGAGTGCTTTCAAGCCCGCTGTCGAGGCATTGTTACATGTTAAATAAAATCCCATCCAAGGGCCGAATATTCGAAGCGAAGTTCGCGACGTCCTAAATAATCAGACCATTTTACAGAGATATGGTCGAGCGAATTCGTCTATTTTGCGAGAATATATTTTATCGGATACTTGATAATCGATTGTAATATATAATTCTCATCTAATATGGCGACGCGAAAAACGAGTTAATTTAAGATTAACCGACGCATAATTTATCCTTCGTCCGGAATGCAATCAGCCTTTGTTGACAAGACTCGCGATGACAAGAACTCAGCTACTAATTTTACATGAGATGATTTAAGAGCAAGGAAGGCTCACTGACGATCCGTCTCCCGGTGGCTGTCAACATTTCCGCACGACGTCATCCTCGTGTAAACAAAGCCGCGATCCACAAAGGCACATAAACGGCGCGAGGTGATCACTGAACGTGTCTCCTTTCCGCATCGACGTTATAAATCCCGCGCCGGGTTTCATGGTATCCTGAATTACGACGATCGTGGGAAGGTAAAGTATTATCAGCGAATTACTTCGCGTCATCGTAATCACCATTATTGTGCCGAGCAATCTTTCCCCACTATGCTCGCGAGCGAGTTGTCACACCGCGACGACGATTAGTCCGTCTGCTTCCTGTAGACGCGGACTTTCATGATGGCAAAGTTGTCTCACCGCGATGACTATTGAAAGTTTCGTCGCACAAATTCGTCGGACAAATTTGTGTGACACTTCCGAGCAATTACTTTTTACACCGGCGGAAAATTATTTTACTCTACAGGCGCGTAACTGTTATTTTCAAGCTATTATAATTTGAAGATCACAATCCAGTTTGGTGATGAATCGTTTGTTTTATTAAATATTTTTCCGCCGCGTCATATCAAGTAGATAAGAATAAGAACAATAATGGCAAAAAGATTGTTATACGGAAATCGATAAGAACGTTGTCTTTAAGTGCATGGAATTTTCTGCTTTGTGGCAAAATTCATTTAACTTGTATAGAATAAGTTATACGAAATAATTTTACACGAAGCACTTTGCGTGGGTGTGTCAGCAAGAATTCTTCGTTATCTTGCTTCAGCCTAGTCGAGTCTTGTTAAAAAAAAAAAATTCTGCACTTTATCTAGAGTAATTGATATTATTTTAATTTTATTCAAATAAATTCTAGCTTCAATGTCACAGATCGCGTGGATGTAATCTATATCCTCCTTCGCGGCGATCGAAACCGATCGATACCGTTGTGACGTAAAAGAAATACGTAAGAGTTTGTTGTATCTAAACGCTTTTACGTGTACGTTATGCAAATTTTTCAACAGCTTTTGTATTCCTCCGTCGATGTTACGGAAAATTAACATAATTATGCTTAAATATAATCGTTACGATCGATATCGATCTTGACTGCGATCACGTGATTTTTCTTACCGGCGACTTTTTTTACAACGGTAGGCTCCGGATTGATGTCCACACTCAGCTTCTTGTCATCAATCCCGTCGATGCTGTCAAATTTCACCGTGTAAATATCCCTGTTGTATAGCAACATTGTTACACGGGGAATAGTGAAAGCTTCATCCCTCACTTTCCTAGTATTAATGTCATTCACCAGGCTGTCATCGTGATTCCTGTTGCTGTTGTTCGGCATGATACCTCCGTTCAGAAATGTCGGTTCAATCTCCGAGTTCGGAAAAGCGACCATATCTGAAATCCAATAGCTCAATTAAACAGGGAAATCTTAATAATCTCATTTCAGATTATTAAGATTTTTGCGAAATTTTCAATTATTCATTCCACCTTTGACATACTGAAAAAATATAA